CTGACTTAATTTTTAATTTAACTGATATTCATTAAAAGAAACTTAATATATATAACGAGTTACTTTTAATCAAATCCAAGTCACGTTACTTTATAAATAGTTTAATAATAAATATAATACAATTATAATTGATAATGCATAATGCAAATAAACATTTTATTTTTATTATTTTAAACCATAGTTAACACTGACTATTTATTCATTTCAAAAAATTAAATTAAAATAACTTAACTTAAGTTGATAAGCTAATTGTAAGTTTCCATACAACTTTTAACTTAAATTAGATTTAAAAAATAGAATAACTATTAACTTTTAAGTTTTTAAAATATTTTGTATCAGCTACTAACTCAAATAAAAATTATCATCGACTTGACCAGGCTTAGTCTCAACCAATGCGTTTGATGTGGAATGCATTTATTTTCAATGAGTAGGTAATAAAATAAGGGATATTGTTTGTTTAATAGCAATTAGAATGTACTGTTGCATATGATTTTTTAAACATTTCGAAAAGAACATACCTAATGCACGTGTTAAATATTATTTGTTTTTATCGGAAATATTAATGCGATAAGATATGCTTAATTATGTGGATCAGTTGATGTTTGTAATACATTTTTGTAAATTAGTATAAAATCCTAATAATCGCTATAAAATGTTTATTATAGGTCTGTCTGCTATTATCGACATTCGATTATTCGAATCGTGTTGGAATAATATATACCTATTATTCAAGTCTTACAAATTTGTATGTGAGTATAAAATTATAAATTTGTTATTTAATTATTATTTTATAAATCAACTTAAGTCTTTAACGCAACTAATATTATGTAATTGTAGTTTTGTTAGTTGTTTCTATTTTTAGTATGACATTAGTTTATTTTTATATACTAGGTATACACCATACAGTTGTAATTTTAACTACCTAAAGTAAAATCAATATGTATTATAAAAGGATTAATAAGCCCTTATCATCGATAGTAGTTTTAACAACGAATCACTTCTTCTTCTTCTTCTTCTTCTGGCCTTCATAACTCTCCAAGGATTTTTGCCGCCATCACTAAATCATCCCAAGAGGCTGATTTTTTGATGGTATCATAACACATACTTTTTACAAGGTGGGGTTGTTAACCCCACGCTTAACAACGAATCACTAATAACCGTAAACAAGTAGCTAATATTGAATTATTATAAGATTTATTTATTGTTAAAATGTCATGGTATTTCTAAGTTCTATATTATTTTAGAATAAACTGTATAAATTCAATAATAATAGTAATAATAATAATAAAACAATTTTTAAGTTATTATGTTCTACTAGCTAGAGTGTCATAACTCATACGCATGATCTACATTCCGAAGTACAATTTTATGACTTTAAATCAATTTAATTATTTTATTCATAATACACTTGGTTGTCTGTACTCATCTGTAATAATGTTGATATGACATGTTCGAAATCTTCTAAAGTTTATTTTTTCATATAAAGATTACTTAATTTAAATCTTTTAGTCATCTCCAAAATATTTATAATATGAAGTTAGGAATAGTTAGTACCTACGTAAATACTTAAGGTAGTTAGGCGATACATAATACCTAAATAATCAATATTATTTTTAAATTCCTGTAATTATTATTTTAGGTTAAATTTATCAAAATAATATAAAATTTAATAACACCGTATTTGAATTAAACTATTATTATATTACCTATTTTTGTAATAGTTTGTAATAGTTGTATTTTAATTTTTTAATAATTCATTGTACATCGGCCATATAGGTATACTCGTGTGCACAACTACTAATATTATATATTATTATAATACACCTTAAATACAATATTCGTAGAATCAATAACTGAACTTGTTCATTAAATACATTTTACACATTAATCTACTAAAATCGAATTACATTTTCTTCGATATGTGTAGTAGAAAATAGTTATTACTTATTTAAATAAATAAAATGAATATTTTTGTATGAGAAAATGAGCTTTCTGGTAAATAGCTTTAAATTTATACTTAATATGGCCAACCTAGGATCTTATAGTAAAATCGAAACGTTCCCAACCGTAGATAAATTTGTATGGCATCAATTATAGTGCTTATCGTAATTTTACTGTTTGATAGCAATGTATAATTACTATAAAATCATCAATTTTTATTTACAATTAAGTAATATTATCATGGTCTAATGTGATAATTGTGGCTACATTATAAAAATAGAGTTTTGAATGTAATTACAAATGAAAAATAAATAGATATATGCTTGATATAATCACATCTGTAATATTTATAAGAGGTTTATAATTATTTTTTTTTTTTTTGCAAGCAAAAATATATTACGATAAGTAAATATTTCACCTCTTACGATTATTATTGGCCTAACTATAGTACAACACATAATTATAGGTACTTTAAAATTTTAAATTGTACGCTAAGTCAAGCATCCTGCTGACTCTCCTGTACTGTAAGATCCAAGTTTACCTCATTAAGGAAACCCTACACCCGCATGTTTCTCCGCCCAAACAGTGGCTACACACACCTAAATAATAAACCTAAGTAGGCACCGGATTTTAAAATAATCATAGTCGTCATTAGATCAAAATATGTATGCATCACCGAATTAACAATAAAAACTACGCCTGTGTGCTTTTGTTAGGTAGGTACTTAAATAACAATTTTTTTTAAATGCTTATACATAAGTCGTTTCGAAATAAATGAGTGAAAAATAAAACTCTTGGCTAGGACCACGCGGTTATCTGCTGGTAGATAACCGTGGTTAGGACACAGTTTATAAATTATAATTATATTTTGCTCTAATATTAACTACAAATAAACTGTAATTAATACTAAATAATAAATAGGAATAATCTGGTAGGTACATAGATGTGCTATGTTTACACTGTGTAACATACTGAGATAAAACACGTGGGTGTAACGTCCTCTGAAGTAGACCGGTAGTGTATGTGTAATTAGTACATATATAGGTACTTCATAGAGTTGTAATGGACGAATTAAATTGTAATCATTTCAATTATTATACACGAAAAATAATTCTCAGGGGAGATGGTGTTCTATACTTGTCTATTTATAAGTTCTAAAGACACTTTATAATGTATTTATATAATGTTATTATAACATAGTTACCAATTCTATTATTTTATTTTTCCATTAGTTATCTATATTTAATATATATGTATAAATGGTGTGAAAAATGTACAGTAATTCATCGATCGAGAACGGCTGGACTGGTTTTAGCTCAAATTTTTTTTCAGTTTTCCATAATTGCCAGGAGACGGTTTTTACAAAAGAACATTTTTGAGAAAAATTTGAATTTCCGCATGAGATCTATGTGAATAACACATACTCGTACAATTTCTCGGCGTTCCGGTGAATACACTTTTTAAAATCGGAATACTAGAACAATACTTTTGAATCTTATCCAATTAGATTGCTATCTATATTGTATATATTATATAAAAATGAATATCTATCAGTCGGTCTATACGTCTCTTATGCCTGCCTAAGCGACTGGACAAATTTTTATGACAATTTTTTTGTGTGTTAGAGTGGTTCACTGGATAATTTAGATTCACAGTTGGACCCGGTAGGTCCAAACAGGAGGGTTGCTGAAGCTGGGAATTTGAGATTTACGTAGGCAATTTTTTTTATTGGTGGTTACTATTATAAATAGGAGAAACATAAATATATATTTAGTAGACATTAGTATTTTTTTTTGTACATTGGTTGCCATTGGTTAGTCAAAGTATGCACATCGAGTTGAATTTTCACACATTGCCTACCAAGGTGGCTGAGTTGAACTTATAGCCACTCATCGGCGTGTCCACAATAAAATAAAAATATAAAAATAAAGCACATTATTCACATTGAGTACGCACCTAGCGCGTCCGCACTATCAGGAGTAAGCCTCATATAGAGTTTAAATTTTAACGGGCAATAAAGTGCACGGGATCAAACCAGTATTATAAACAGTAGTAGTGAGGCTAACTTACGTTTTTAAACGCTTAAACGTTTTTTATTATAATTAAAACCAAATGTTTATAAAGAGCTGAAAACTATTGTAAATATTTTAAAATTTAAATTTCTCTATAAAATACTAGTAAAAGTATTTTTATTGAAAAGGTCATTAGGAGCACTTATATCTCCAATTATTTACTAAGAATTATAACAAAAATATAAAATAGATTTTCCTAAAAATTATTTTGTTATTATTTTTGTTATTATTATTAATACAACATAGTGATAAAATAATAGAGGAATTATGAAATAATAATAACTAAAATAATATATAGTTCAGTAATACATTGACCAAACATTGAAAATGTAATTATTTATGTGTACCTAGAGCATATCTCAATAAACAAATTGCTCATATTAATTAGTTCATATAAAAGTTTTCATAAAGAAATTTTCACAAATGTTTATTGTCATAGAGTCGTGCAGCTAAAATGATTTAATGAATTCTTTCACACTGTCATAGTAAATTAGTATATTTCAAACATATCGTAGTTTTATCGTAATATTATTACACAACAGCCGTTAGGTACCAACAATCATTATGATTTCGTCCAACAAACAACAATATTAATGTTATCATTGTTATTGACCTTTTAAATTAGATACTCTTATACAGACGTAAGAAATCGAAAATGAATTGATTTATTTTTATGTTCACGTCATAATAATATGCTTGACGTTAAGTGGTTCAAAATATAGTCACGTAGTGTTAGTAAGTTAATCCGTAAAATAATAATTATCGCATTTAAAATTATGTGATAATAATGATGATAATATATTATGTACCTACTTCAAATATGGATCATAAGATTAGTCGTACTATCGCTCGACGCTCGGGAATCATTATGTTCCCCTACTGTGAAAGCCCGGACTGTGAAGAATAACCACTGAACTCGTATCGATGAAAAGGTCAATAATGGCACTTGTATTAATTTGTCGTATCACTGAATCAGGATAGTTATAAATACAGTTATTATAACATTGGAAGATTATTTGACAAGTACTGTTGAGTTATATTCACTATTGTAATACTTTACTGGATGACTTCGGTTGTGCACATTTCAGTTGCCACCGACACTACAGACTTGTCCATTATTGTTAAGTATATTTTTTTTTTCACTGAAATAAAATCATTTTTATTTTATATGCTACATTTAATTTTTGAATCAAATACGGAAATCTTAATGTATAACATTCATGTTTTCCAGACACGGTTTTTTATTTAAACTTAACAATATCTTTAATTTTAGCATAGGTGATAATATGATTGATATTTTATAGATTATTCATAATATTCTTCTATTGATCACTCACTCTGCTCATTTTATCAATGAAGTTTCATCATTTAAAATTTAAAAACAGTGATATTACCTATATTTATTTTTTAGTTTGAATTGTAAAAGTCAATGTTGTACATTTTATACTGACTCATAAATGTTTATTCAATGTGCTAAATTATTGTAATTATAAATTATAAGTAGGTATTATAATATTAACTCGAGACATTATTATTTTCTAGATATGATCTTTGATATTAAAACACAATGTCAGGCCTACAAAATCGTAGTTCTCAGTTACTCAAGTACACAAGACTTTTCAATAATGGCAGTGTCACACGGTTAAGTTCAAGTACTGCTAAATCATCTGCTGAAGTGATTCAACGAGAGAAAAAAGTGTCTGCAAACAATTATGATCCTAGTCCCGTGGTTATCACCAGAGGAGAAGGTTTTTATTTATTTATTTATTTATTTGTATATATATATAATATATACTAATTAACGCCAAACGGCTTTTATATAGGTTATTATTTAATTGTATTTTTGAATAAACAAATTCCAATCGAGATTATCAAATAAGAAAATAATTTTCATTATTCTTTTTGTTGTATATTGTAAACATAATAAATCATTTTGTAAATACATTATTCTTTTAAACAATTTCAGGAATTTTTATGTGGGACGTTGAAGGGAAAAAATACTATGATTTTGTGGGAGGATTTGCCACCCTTAATCAGGGTCACTGTCATCCAAAAATTATAAAGGCCATGACAGATCAATTAAACAAACTTCATCACACGTCAAGAGCTATATTTCACGATTCGCTGTATCAACTCAATGAGTTCTTGACTAAACAATTTGATTATGAAAAAGTTTTGAACATGAATACGGGTAAAATACATTTATTTTGAGACTAATTTTGTTTTATGTAAATATTATATTTTAATAGAACATTTTACAACTGAAATAATTATATCGATATCGATTATTAAGTACATATACATTTTTTATTATTCAATTAATTGCACATATATTTATTTAAGGTGTTGAGGGAGGAGAGTCTAGTGTCAAGATCGCAAGAAAATGGGGATATAGAGTGAAAAAAATTCCACAAAATCAAGCACAAGTTGTGTTTGCCCATGGTAACTTTTGGGGAAGAACAATCGCTGCCATTTCTGCATCTACTGATCCAACTTCCTTCGATGAATTTGGGCCTCATGTTCCTGGTTATCAAATAGTGCCTTATGATGACTTAGGAAAATTAGAGGTGAATATGAAAATATGAATCATTAAGTTATTCTGTTGTTGTATTTCTATTTGAAGATTTTCTTAATTGTATTAAAAGAAACACAACATAATATTATTATTTTCAAGTTCAATTTATAAAAAAAAATGTTGGAAAAAATATCTTACATGTTCTAAAAGTTTTTGTATGTATTATATATATTTTTTCATAATTAATTTTTAATTCACTATAGGTATGACATAAAAGCTACAACATAATTATAAAATAAAAAAATTTAGTAACTAATAATTGTTACGGACAAAATTGTTAATACATAAAAAATTTGGTTAATTGAATGATCATATTTTAATACATTAATAAATTTGTCTTTATTTATCACTTGATTTTATTCTTAGGAGGATGTCAATGCACTGTTTGTTTTCTCACTCTGGCCCACGCATAACATAGTCAAAGTTAATTCTTGCAAAATCATTTTTTTTTTTTGTCGTTTTATGCTATCGAGTAAAATTGAATAAAATTGACCATTTTTAAATGTATAGAGAATAATATTTTTGAGGGTATGGAAAATAAATTTGTCTAAATATTGTCTCAAAATCATTTAAATACCATTTGAATTTCCTAATTTTTTGTTTTATTTTTTAAGATGAATATAAATTCAAAAAGTATGAAAATATAAAACCAATATGTGAAACCTTCAAAAATATTATCCTATATAATTTTTATAATAGGTGGTTCATACCTAAAATTACTAAAAAATCATATATAAAAAAAAAAGATATTACGTGAATGAGTTTATTTATCTGTTATCCGCAGGTTTGAAAGAGAAAACAAATATTGCACCGACATCCTCTTAATCGGTATTTTTTCAAAGCATATTATTTTTTGTAAGGTACTTATATTTTTTAATAATGCTATGATACGATACCTACAGCTTTAATCATATTAGTTTGTGACCTATAATAGCCTATCGGATTAACTCGTGATTTGAATTTTCTTATAGCAAGCATTGAGAAACCCAAATGTATGCGCATTCATGGTGGAACCATTACAAGGCGAAGCAGGCGCAGTGGTACCTACCATAGGCTACTTGAAAGGAGTTCGTGAGCTTTGCACAAAGTATAATGTTCTTTGGATTGATGATGAAGTACAAGCTGGATTGGGTAGGACCGGAAAAATGTTAGCAGTCGATTATGAAAACGTCAAACCTGATCTGTTGATCCTTGGTAAAGCACTTTCCGGCGGAGTGTACCCGGTGAGTACAATTTGTAAAACATTAAGTCGTACCTACCTATTTTTGAAGGCCCATAAAATAAAAGAAATTCACATGTACTAGATTTCTGCGGTATTGGGTAAAAGTGAAGTAATGGATGTTCTTACTCCTGGTACACATGGGTCGACATATGGTGGAAATGCGTTAGCATGTAAGGTGGCGCTGGCTTCATTAGACGTCATAATAAGCGAAGGCTTGGTAGAAAACGCATTCAAGATGGGCGAGATCTTTAGGTCCGAACTCACAGCTCGTTTGGACAAAGATAAAGTAATTCTAGTCAGAGGAAGAGGCTTGCTGAATGCTCTCGTACTAAACACAGGTATGTTTTCATGTAACACAAACACATATTTTGAAAAAACATAGAAATAAATATGAAAAAAACTATTTGATTCGTGTATTAGATTGCCATAATATTTTTAATTATTATTGCAATATTTTTCTGTATAAATATATTTTTTTTCACCACATTAAGTGAACAATATTTCGTTTTATATGCTTGTTCATAATGTGCCAATATATATTATTTAGGAACATTATACTTTTGAAGACATAAACCGTTAAACGTCTTACTGAATACATTTATAATCGTATGTTTGACGTGCACGATGTTACTAATGAACTATTTTAATGAACTGTACGCATGGTGCGTAATAATTATTTTTAAACGAAAAGATCTTATCCTTTTACCAACAAATGTTTACTATTTATAATATTCAATAATTGTATATGAGTTCAAAATATAGTTTAGCACCATAAATTGTCAATCAATATATACGAGTATAATATTGAGCTTTAAATAATCAATTTAAATTATAGTTATTTTAATGACTAAAATTCCTTGTTTTGAGCTTAAACATACAATATAATATAATGTTATAATTTTTATTACATTTACAGAAGGAGTATCCAATGTCTACAAATTAAACAATGAACTAAAATCCAATGGAATGATTTCCAAGCCCATTGGATCAGGTGCATTGAGATTTTCGCCACCATTAATAATTACAGAAGCACAATTACGTGAAGGAATTGATATAATAGTAAACACCATAAATAATTTTAAAAATTAAATAATTAATTGAAATCATTATTATACTATTGATTCTATCAAAAATACAAAAATCATGTACTTTTCATAAATTCATTCTTTCATTACATTTAAACATAATAAAATTAATACTATTTTATGAGTTATATTATGAGAATTAAAGTTTTGTAATTCATGCTCATTTTATCAATAAAAGCATTGTTATATAATATACCTACGGTTTGCAGTAAGTTTTTTTAAGAAATTATTTTTTTTACCTATATAGGAACCTGCTGCCTGTATAATATGAAATTATATTATAATATTTTCATTTTTACAAACAAGTGTTTGTTAATGTGTTTTTAAATTTTTTTATAAATATTACAAGTACCTACTTAGAAATAATATCTAGCAAAACGTATTAAAAAATTAAAAGACACACATTTCAAAAAATTAAAACACTATATGTTACATACATAATATTGTTAAATTATTGGCTGAAAATATAAATTATAAAAATTAAAAATATGGTACCTAAAATAAATATAAAATGTTTTATTCAAAGACAGGCTATAATATATTACCATTGTCTATAAATACTATAATTAATAGTATTATATTACTAAGTACAAGACCGTAGCCAGGAGGGTCAGGGTTCAACCCCCCCCCATGGTTGGATCAAGTACGTACATGGGGGGGGGGGATGGAAAAGTAGAACATTCCAGTGTATTTAAAAATATTGAGGAAGAAGAAAAGGAAAAAGAGAATTTTTACTCAAAACCAATCTTTGATAACTTGGATTTTGGTTTTCAAACACACATATTTGAAATAGAATGACGATTGGATATTTTAACAAATGTTTACAGTAATACTATTCTCTATATAAGATACAATGTTAGCAATAGTTTGACTCTTTTGAGCTTAATAGAAACATGAGACATTTTGTTTGTACAGAAGTGTCGATGGATATGAAGATAAAACATTTATTTCTCAAAAGTATTTTATACACAAATTAATGAAAAATATTAAACAATATTTGTCTCAATATTTTTTTATAATCTCTTAAAATTCGAAATTTAAATAAACTTTTGAATTCAAAATTCTTAAAATATTCATTATTATAAGTTTTGAAATTGTGATACAATGCTCCTCATAGTTTTTGATTCCTGGAATTAAAAACTACATTTAAGAATAATTCCAATAATATATTACCATGAAAAACTTGAAGCTTCAAAGTTAAAGAAATTGGATAAGTAAAAAACTATTTATCTTCATATCTATGATTTTCTAATTTTGTTGTGATTCAAAAACGAATAACTGTTGATGCTTAAAATTATCACCAAATGATTTTATTATTATTTTTTAAAGATAGTATGATTTTCAATTCCCAATATTTCGTTTTTTATTTAGCTGTTTTTAAACATTTTACATCTTCGATAGTTTTTAGTTTTTTTTCTATAAATATCGTCAGAAGATTTTTTGTAAAGTCAAAAGCTTAAATATGTAATAAGAGCAGGTGCGTACCTCATAACATTATACACATTATTTAAGTTTATTCTTGGATGAAATTAGATATTTAAAAAGTACTTGTAGAATAACGGTTTAAGTTATTTTGTTGTGACTCAAATATTTTGTATGTGTAACATTTGACGTGTATTTTTTTTATTCTACACACACAATGACATATTTAAATGCAATATTTTTTCAACCTATTTATCGTTCTACTAATAGTCAAATAAATTACTTTAATAGATATGTACATGCTCCAGAAGCGAATAAAAATATTGAAGATTGATTGCTTACAGATTCATGAGATATTTTGACATTACAAATTTTAAATTTATAATATAACTATATAGATTGTTTTCATATTATATTATAAATGTGTATTGTGTAGAAATAAATTAAAACTAATTAATCTAAAATTCTAAAGAGATATTCACAATAATGAAATGTTGTCTATTATTATACAATAAAATATGAAACTCATTAAAAAAACCCTGCAGTACCAGCATTGGAGAATTGATTTTTCCTAGTTTGAGGAGGTAAACAAATGTGGTAATGAGGATTATAAATCATTACAAACGAAATAACAATCGATATGATATTATTTGACTTATATATATATATAATTAACTTTGGTGGTACTATGCACTTATCCACTGCGAAAGCTGTCTTCAGTCAAGGTTATTAACTCGGACTATAGAGTTGGGAGTTACCCATTTCCGAAAAAAGTATATACCATTTCTTTTTGCGCCATACATGAAAAAACTTATAAAATTGAATTTTAATGAATAAAATTGTATTTAGTAACTATTAGAGAGACGGACAAATTATTAATTAGACAAATGAATATATATATGTATATACATAGATAAATTATTAACTTAAATAGTCGCATTTTTTACTTTTTTCGATTTATATTTGTTTAACATAGATGTTGCTCATTTTAGATAAAAAAAATAAATAATGATTGAATAAAAGGTTTCTTATAATAGTTCAACATCAAAAATCTTCTTACCACAATTCATAAATATAAAAAGTATTATAATACAGAGATTAGGAACTTTGTTTCTAGGTATCCCGTCAAAATAGTGAAAATAAAATAACGAAAAAAAAAACCGAGAATTAAAAATAATGAAAGCTGTTTAACGAATCTAGATAAAAGCGAATGACAATAATATCAATAATGATATTTCGATTAAAGCACGATTAAAGATATCTTTATTCTTTAATCGTGCTTTAGTAGTAATCGAATATTCGAGTGGTTGGTGTAGTTCGTGTTACTTAATTACGTGTATAATTCTTCGCTGAATGCAAATAATATTGTATTAATATGGAATACGTAAGTACTCAGAAATAAAAATAAAAAATTGAAAATCTACTGTGGATATACATTCAGAGTAGAAAAAACTATTGAAAACCCAATGTATTAGAGGTATACAGAACACCATTGTAAAAGCCGAATGTTAGTTAAGAATGAAATGCAAGTAAACTTCATGCAAGGATCGTAGTAGCAAATATAAAAAATGAAGCTATTCACACACAACAATTACCGCAACAAATAATAAGGGCTACACAAATACCAGCTTTAGTGGTGGAAGCAATGCCATCAATAAGTTCGATTAAAATTACACTTCGCCGAATTCGCAAAAGGAACGAATGCGTCCCTACAGATCCAAAATCACTTTTTGATCTTGATATTCCTGAACAATTTAGAAAAACATAAAATGGCGCACAATTTCTGTTGCGTGATAGCGGCCCTTCAAATAATCGAATAATTATATTTTCAACACATGATAATTTAGACATAATGGTGATTGGTTTGCTGATGGTACGTTTAAAACATCGCCTTTAATATTTTCACAAGTTTATACAATATATATATTAGTTAACGAAAATATCATTATACCCAATATTTATGCTTTACTGCCGAACAAAACTGAAGAAACTTATATTCGTCTGTTTACAACTTTAAAAAAAATTAAGCCTAATATTAATCCAAAATCAATTATTACAGACTTCGAACGTAGTACTTTTAACGCATTCAAATATGTATTTCCAATTATAAAACAAAATGGTTGCCATTTTCATTTCGCACAATCTATATGGTGGCACATTCAACAAATTCAAGGTTTATCAGCAAAGTATAAATTAGATCCTAATTTTGCTTTAGATATAAGAACGATATCGGCTCTTGCCTTTGTGCCACCAAACCATGTTATACTCGCGTTTGAAGAATTGTTGAATTACTAATCTGAATTCTTAATCCACTAATTAACTATTTCGTGGACACGTAGATTGGACGTCGAGGAAGAAAAAGCTTTCGGAAATCACGTTCGATCTAACGTTATGGAACTGCTATGAAATTTCCAAACGCCAGGGGGCCAAAACCAATAATTCTATTGAGGGTTGGCATAGAGGTTTCAGCTCATTGTTAGGTATATTTTGTTTGTTGATCAATTGTTAATGAATTAACTTAATATATTTTAATCTTTAGCATCACACCATCCATCAATCTGGAAATTTATTGAGTGTCTTCAAAGACAAAAAAGGTTGGCGGGAATTAAATATGAGCAGTATCAATCTGGAATGAATAATATAAGGAAAAAAAAGAAGTACAAAGATTCTGCTTTAAAGGAATTGCCTAAAATTTGACATATTAGTTTATTAATATATTTTTTTTCATACTTATAGATACGACAAAAATAATAATTATTATTGTCATAATTTTAATTTTTTATATTTTCCATACATTTTTATTCGGTATTTATTCTTTCAATTAAATGATTTGCGCTGTTATGTATTCATTATTTTGTATTCGATTATTTTTTCACTATTTTGGAGGTGAACTTTGTTTCTAGGCGCAAGAAGCTACTACTCAATATACTAACGTCTAATCCATGCCCGCATTGTCAACACAAACATCAACATTATAATATTATACTGCAATTACAATAATTTGTTAATAGATACTTTAATATTATAAATGTAGATACGTTGGTAATTCAATTATTATCGTATCTGAATTGCTGACAGAAATCTGACTTCTCTATCAAATTAAGGGTAAAATAACAAAAGTTAAGAAAAAATACAAAGTTAATGAAATGAGTAACCAACTAGAGCAATGAACGAATGCGTAAAAATCTTAAAAACGTGACTTCATTATTCACAAATTAATACTGAAACTTATAGTGTTTTGAATTTAATCATTTATAATTGCACCAAGCGATTTTACCACTCCATGAGTATTGCATTAGTTTTTATTAAATCAAAAACGAAAGCAAAATTGTACTTCATAATGGAGAAATAGAGTTAATATTTAATAATAGTATGAGCAATCACAATATCGGTGGTACAGAGAGTTCACTCGAGTATAATTGTCAGTGCAACTTAATCAAATACAAAACACTTTACCAATCCAATAAAATATATTGGTCGACTCGAATGCCCAATGCGGCAATGCTCAATGCACACTGAGATCAAAAAGTACGTAAAATCAAAAACGCTATAAATGCGACTGATATTTTGATTACGACATCGTTCTTAATATCGATGTA